GGGGGGAATGTAGGTGTATAGCGCGGTGAAAACAGGGCATAGTGAGCGGGCTAGGAACGGGGTGTGTCTCTCTCATGCTTTTCCAAGACACCTCTTCAACGTTACATTTGGGCGCGTTTATTACACCGACACGCCCTCCCCAGTGTAACTAGAAGATTGGCGGGCAGACTGTGTGAACGCGACAGTGAACCACAGTAGCACAGATGGCTTTAAAATTAAAAGGCAATTCATGGAGGATCACTCTGGATCAATGACTGCTAGGTAAAATGACTTGGGATCATCCACACATAGAGAGGAGGCTGAAGTTGGTTCCCAATTTCTTATTCATGAATTCAACCAAATACACTGAGGACCGCTCTTTGGACCATGTTCTCTAGAAGGGGAGAGCCCCCTGAACGTGGGGGTGTATGATCCAGATCTTACTTTTGGGTTCAGAGCTTTCAAACTCTCAGTGTTTTTGCCTGAATGCATGAATAAGTAGCGAAGTCAGCCTCATCACAGGAATACAGTAAATCTTTGAATCCCAGTGCAAAGAGGCAACATCAGGGGAATCTCCATGCCCTGTTTGTTTGTGTTTGCTCTTTGGGGAAACTCCTTGGCCAGTGTGAGATAGGATGCTAGTATTAAAAAAAACCCCAAACAACCTCTGGTCTGATCCAGTGGGGCACTTCTTAAGTTCTTAAGAGAGTGTATGTGGCGTTTTGCTTTGTGATGTCTCCTGCACAAGTGCAAGCCGTTGTTGGTACTGATTCACTCACTTCCACAGTACTGAAATCCATGGTCCTCTGTTTATAGCTATATAAGAAGAAGCCAGGTCCTTTGTCCATAGCACATATGGTGGCTTCTCACAGAGGTGTGGCATGGCACCTAACCATAGGGAACAACTAGCTTCCACAATGGGTTGCTGAAGTGCTGAAAAATGCATATGTGAACCCACTTTCTTGAGAATGTCCCCACAGTATTGAGCAAATACCATTGACACCACCAACATATACAAGTTCTCTCCCACAAACACTCAAGCCCAGAGTGATGGAATATACCAAAGTACTTGCATACTTTGGCTCCATTAATCACAATCAACCCAAGTAAATTCAGACAAATAACTGAAGTGGCAAAGACATCATTCCAGCTGTGATACATGATGAGACTGCAGTTCACCTCATGGTTCACAGAAAACCTGAAACTGAAAACTAATCCCCACCACCACCTATATGTAATATTTGAGGAAATCTGTTTCAATTAATCTGAATTAGTATACATACTAAGTCTCTCAGTTCTCACTTGTATCCAGAATTGAACTTTATTTGTCTTGCAGGTGCCACTGGACTCAGACCACATTCCCACATCTGTTTGTTAACTCTTGTGTTTGTATGCTAATATACTGCCATTCACAGTTCTTTCTTATATCCTATCTCAGCTATTATCACATAGTACTTATGCAATTTGACTGTAAATGGCCCTTCCTGACAACAACTTCCACCCCCTATAAGTAATGGTTAAGGGGGTTCTGTTCCACTGTATCTGAAGAAGTGTGCTTGCACACAAAAACTTATATCGTGAATAAAACTGTTGGTCTTAAAGGTGCCGCTGGACTCAAACTTTGTTCTGATACTTCAGACCAACACGGCACTACCCCACCAGAAAATCTGAAAGATGATGACCTTTGGTTTTATGACTTCGGCAGCGGTGCCTCTACTATTGCTTTCACCTTCTCGCGGGTTAGGTGGAGGCCCTCCGCATCCACCGTGAACCCTAAAAAGTCCACTGATGGTACACCCAGGCGGCACTTGTCTAGCTTCACTTTCAGCCCAGCATCCTGGAAACGGCTGAGCACGGCGCGGCGGCGATCAGCGAAGTCGGCTGGCGTGGCAGCGGCGATCATCACATCATTGAAGAATGGTGTGACGCCGGGGATCCCTTTAAGAAGAGAGTCCATCAGTTGCTGGACTAGCCCCGGTCCGAATTGTAATCGCTTTACACGGAATGCCCCCCGGTGAGTCACAATTGTCTGCGCCTCCGCTGTTGCCTCATCTACCGGCAACTGCTGGTACGCAGTTGCTTTTTTAAATGAGCAGTTCAATATCTTTTGCATTTCGTTGTGGATTTTTGTCCAAAAGTCCACAGCTTTATCACATGTCCACCACATGTGATAAAATGAGCCCTCATGCTTTTTACATTTCCAACATTTATTAGACATATTTTGGTTCATATTTGCTATTTTTTTGGCGTCATGTACCATCTATACATCATTTTATAACAATTTTCTCTTACATTGGTACAAGTCGATATCTTAATAGAATTCTTCCACAAATATTCCCACGAGTCTATTGTCACTTCCTTGTTCATATTAATTGCCCATTTTATCATTTGTTCTTTTACAGTTTCATCTTCAGTATACCATTTCAACAAAACTTTATACAAATTAGAAATCATTTTTTTCCCTCCACTCTCCCATATAATCTCAAATTCATTCTTTTCCTCTCTGAATCCATATTTTTTCTTATCTGCTTTAAAGATATCACAAATTTGCATATATTTCAACCAAACATATTTATACTGAATTTCATCTTGATTTTTCATTACCCATTCTGTTCCCTCTTTTTTAAGTAAGTCACTGTAAGGCAACCATTCTTCACCTTGTTGTCTTGAATATGGTGTCAAAACTTCTGCTGGTACAATCCAAAGTGGTCTCATATCACGAAAATATTGTTTACATCTCATCCATGTCATAAATAGCGCATGTCTTACCAAGTGACACTTGAAGAAACTGTCCATTTTTGTCTTTTCATACCATAAATAAGCATGCCAACCAAA